TCATGAGGGCGGCAGGTGCTCGGGCTGGCAGTTGCAAGTGGAGGCCGGTTGCTCATGGCAGTTCCTTCACAACCCTGAGGAATGGGAAGCATGTGAAGCCACTCCGAAATTGTCAACACAGGCAGGACTCTATTTCAAAGCCACGTGTGGTTGGGAACCACTTGTGCAAAACACTTTGCGCTCCGGGCACAAAAGGACCTTTGCGGAGTTGACATTGATGGCGGACTACTTGAATGTGACACAACCCCACAAGAATTCCAAGAAGGAGTTGTTGAAACAGTGTCAGGAGTGTTTCGGAGAAGAGTTTGCAGAAGCTTGCCGTGAAGCTGCAGAGTCAGACACTCAGAAGGCTCCTGATGCAGATATGCCTGATGGTTTTCTATCAGCATTGTTGGACAACATGGAGCCCTCAGATAAACAGGATTTCCAGGACTTGGAGAAAGCCCTGATGCGACAGGAACAGCAGGCCGAGCAACAACGTTGGCAAAACATGTGGGATGAGAAGGTTGCAGAACAAAAGGCACCCTGGCAAGACCTTCCAGTGAGTTTCTGAGCTAGGCTTAGACTCAATTGTTGTGATTCAAATGTGACTCAATTGTGACTCAATTGTGATTCGATTGCAGGCCAAAAGAGCGAGGAGAGCTGTGGCAAAAGCCAAAGCAAAGTCAAAACCGTGTGCCAAAGCAAAATGCAAAGGCAAGGGCAAAGGAAAAGGCAAAGGCCGTGGAAAAGGCAATGGGTTTGGAAGAGGCACAGCTTTGGGCTTGCAAGGGCTGGCTCGCAGGCAAGCAGCGTCACGAAAACGCAAGGAGCAGGTGCTCGAACAAATGCCCGGACCAGCAGTGGAAGAAGATCCAGATATCTCTGAACTCAAAGAGGAGTTGGAAAGCCAGCTGTTGGACATGAATGTCATGGACGATCGAACAACTCCTGATTCATTGCCGGCAGAGCCTTGTGTCCATGCTCCCAGTCCAAGAGAGCCCGCCCCCTCACCGGAGCCTTGCGCCCATCCTCCCAGTCCACACACTGGTGAAGGAGAGCCCGCCCCCCCGGCGGAGGAGCCCTGTGTCGATGCTTCCCGTCCACACTCTGTGCTTGGTGGTGCCGGGGTCGCACACGAGGAAACAAAAGTGCAAGCACAGCCATCCAATGGGACCTTGCCGGATCCAATATCCGGGCCAAGGGACAGTGGAATGGCACAGGCCTCGTCCTCGAGCGGATCAGCCCCTGAGCAGGTCCTTGATGATGCTGCACATCGTGGCCAGGCATCGCAACGTGCTCCGCGCGAGCATGGTCCACACTTGAATAACACTCCCGACTTCCTGTCGGAGTTGGATCCACCCGAAGACTTCAAGTTGCGTCTCAGCTTCAACGATCATCGCTTCAAAGCCGAGATCATGACAAAACAGTATGTGTCAAGTGAGGGGAAAAAGTCTTGCAGCAAAAGCTTTGCTAACGACAGATCAGACTGGAAGCAAGCACTGGCTCAAGTGCATCGCTGGGCGTGGACAGAGTGGGAGAAGGCCAAACCTGAAAGGCAACTGCCGCCTCATTGTCAGCCTGGCACTATCCCTGAGGCTGTCCTGGAACGCCTTGCCCCGATTATCGACGCAATGCCTCCGCCCACAAAGTATGCCAAGTAGCCTCTTCAGTTTTTTTTGGTGATAAACACATCACAGGGGAAAACATGTCAGCAGGTTGCAGATTTCTGTCAATGTCATGTATGCAAGTATCGTGTTCTTAGCTTCAAGTCTTCGGTCGATTCAAGAAGTCACAGGGAGTGAGTTCATCCAGCCGAGTCCAATGTGTGTGAATCTGCTCCTGCTGTCATAGCGGCAACATGTTCGATTCACAATTTTGGCTTCAGCTTGTGCGCAGTTGCTGTTCATTCTGTGATTGAGTCTTTACAGTTACGTTGCAATTACAGTTGCTGAATGCCTGAAGTGTGCAATTGAAGATGACATGACATGAATCATGAAGTCTCACCATAGTTATGCTGCAGATTGCTCGGGGAGAAAGCGATCAGCAAAAACAAGCCTTCCTGACATTGTGTCCTGTTAGTTTGTGGAATGTGCTTGATATGCCAGGCAAGCATTGAATCCATTTGTTGCTCAAGTTGGACCAGAGGTATGGTTTAAAGTTATGTGGGACAACAAATCAATGTATTGATGTCAGTGAATCACCAACATGTCCAATTTCCAGTGGCCGTGCCAGCATGTGCTGGGATCATCGCTGGTCTTCAGTGGTAGTGCTGGGCCTGTGAAGCCAGCACGCAAGAAATGCAAAAGGAAAAAGAATGCTGCAGAGTCATTTGAGTTGGGAGGTAGATCAGTGGAGCGCCCGTGTACTCTTCCTGCCTTGAATTTTACCGATACAGTTACAGGAACTGATGAAATTGATGATCGGTTTGACACTTGGGTAGAGGACGTCTTCGAGCAAACATCGCGATTGCAATGTTCGCATTTCCTTCCGTTTGCTTCCTTGTCTTTCTCCCCAAGGCCGGAGTCTGTTCAAAGTGTTATGGGTCACAGATTTTGTTATAATTTGAATTTTTCATTAATTAATGTAATACTACATAAACTTATCATCATCCTCAATTGATCTTGCTGGCCAGGTCCACAGAGCCTTGGTGTCACAGGCTCATGGTTGCAAGGATTTTGGTGCAAAATTTCTTGCGCTACGACCAGGACTTCAATGTGGGCAGAGTGGCCATGAAATGGCATGGGCTGATTGGATTGGCTTATCCCGCATTGAAGAACCGAACCATCGAGTGTCAGCTGATGTGCATCATTAGCCGTAGCTATGACAACAGAGCCAAGATTGAAGCAGCTTCAATCGATGTGGGACCCCATCAATGTGCGGGGTTGCTGCAATACATTGAATACTATGCAGGGAGCGCCAAACTTTCGAAGAAATTGATCGAATCCGGTCTCCGTGGGTGCAGCTTTGACATACTCTACAATGACGAACACAACATGTTGCTAGCGAAAGGGTTGCGTTTGTTTCTGGATGCAGCCACAGCGTGTGAGAAGAAGGCTTTGCATTGGTGGGGCACTCCGTGCTCTTCTTTTGTCATTATGTGCTCATTTCGTTCCCAACGTGCTGAAAGCAACGGCTGGGAAGGCGCATGGACTGAGCGGGACTTTGTATTGCAGGGAAATTGTCAGGCCCTTGTTTGCTCACTTGGGATTTTCCTGGGATGGGCATGTGAGTGCTGCCCTGTGGTGGAACAGCCCCTCAGCTCCTGTATGCCGCACCTCGAGTGTGTCAAAACAGTTCTATCCTTTTGTGGCTTCGAAAAGACTTGCACCTACATGGGTGCCTTTAACGGAAAGTCAGTGAAGCCCTTGCAACTGTGGCATTTGCCTGGGTTTCATTTTGAGAACCTGGCCAGGCCCAAACCAGATCATAATGCTTTCATTGGTCTGGTAAACCGAGGCGAAGACGGCCGTTTCACCGGTGTGCCAGCAGATGTACAGGCTAGTGGGGAATACACTTCGATGTTCGGGGAAGCAGTTGCGCAGATTGTCCGGAATCTATTGTGACGATCCGCTTCGTCAGCCAAAATACGTTTCATAGCTTACTGAGCTGCATGCTTTTTATTATTCAAGCCAATCTGCTGTGACTGGTTTTTGGGGTGTGAATGCTGTGACACAACAGCAACAGCAGGCCATGCAGCAACACAGGTAAAACAGTGCGATGACTGATGAGAAGGTTGCATAACAATTGAGACACAAGTCTGATTTGCTTGCAGCCTTATGTCGATGTGGCTGTCTCAGTGAACACACTTGGAGGAACAGAATTGATATGGCTCTTTCAGTGAATGAGTATGCGCCGGCAAATCAGGGCCTTGGACGTCGTTCTTGCCTTCTTTGCCCCACTTGAGGAGGATTCCTCAAGATTTCCTCAATTCGAATCGTCAACCTTGCCAAGCAATGCCATGCTGACTCAAGATTTCCTCAACCTTGCAGCAACCTGTTTAAGTTGACAGGTTGTTCTGAGCAGTGTGAGGAAACAATAGATGCCATCCACTGTGACCTTGCCCGATGTGCCCATGTCGGTGCAAGGGGTCAGTGGCATGGCACAAGTGAACACACTTGAGGAACAATTTCTTGTTGACAATTTGGGAGTCACACCTTTGCAGCTTCTGCCGGCTCTTGCACAGACGTCCTCAGCCTTGCGAAAACCTGTTGGTGTTGCCGGGCTCTCACCCGAAGAGCCATCAAGTTTCCTTGCTTGGGGACACAAAGGCCAGCCATCTAGTGTGACCTTGCCCGACGTGCCAATGTCGGTGCAAGGAGTCACTGGAATGGCACAGCTTCCGGTTGCTCTGTTCACACACCGGCTTGGACAGAAATAATACTACATTTTTTCATGGTTTTCTCAACAATTTTCAGTGTCTGCAAATCTCCAGTTACATTAATTCTGGACAAACCTACCGTGTCGTAACGTATCCAATAAGTCTTTGTTCAGGTTGACTTCTGATTTGATAACTTTGGTTTTTGCCAAGCCCACTGATCCAGCCCCCGCGGATCCAACCCTACAAACGAGCATATTGAATGTTTTGAGGTTTACAACGTTTTGATTTATGGGAATACGGCCTAAACTTCTATGGGAGTTCGGGCCTTGTTCCCACGTACAAAGACTTTGCAAGCTTTCTTATGGAGGCTTTGTATGTAGTAGGTTTGTTGCAGACAAGAAGCTTTGTTCTTCTGCACCCGGGGGTGTTCCCGTTTTTCATTACAGACTTGGTCTATAGATACTTCCGGGGGTTAGTCTGGGAGTCGTTCGGTTGAGTTTTTGCAAGGTTAGGCTTCGTGTAGATAAGCCTTTCTGATCGTTTTCAAGGTTTCTCCTGCAGTTTCTCTACGTCCTACTTCGACAGGATGAGTACTGTATATGCAGATGTGTATGTCATGTCTATTCATGGACCCTGAAAATCTATATGCTGCAGAACACCTTCAGCTTCTACGGAGGATTCTAGTCAGTCTAATCTAGATCTACATGTCATCATGAAAGCTCCACTTAGTTTTGAATGAAGTCAGGTTCTGGGGACACGCTGCCTTCGCAGTCAGCGCGGTTTGCGCCGCCTCACCTGAGAACCAAGCTTGGGGAGGGCCTGTGGGCTAGTGTTTAGGGACATATGGGGTTGAGGGGCAGCTGAGGTTCGCTGGGCTCTTCACAGAAGGTTTTGGAAACGCTTTCTGGCTGACGCTGGCGATGTTTGTCTTCGGTCCGGGTGCTCTTGTCTATCGGGCAGGATCGCCAAGGACATGCAGATTCGGAAGCGCATGTGGGTTCAAGTCGAAGCTACTTGTGCTTGTAGAAAGAGCTCCGATGCTCATGCATTGCAGTCGACACCCACAAATACGTTCACCGCGGGAACTTGTGACCTCAGCCGACCAAACCCACCTTTTCGAAGGGAATCCATGGCTACAACATCGTTATAAGTAGCAGAGGATGCACACGAGCACCGACTCAGCCGAACCACCATTCAGGACCTTCTTGCTCGGCACGAACCCGACATTGACGTTCCTCAACGTAGGCGAGGCAGAATGGAATCTCAAGAAAAAGACGCCAGTTGAAAATAAAATGTCAGGGTCGTTCATCGTGAACATGAAGGAGACCAGGTGGTGTCTGTACTGTAACACTACATCCGTGAATATGTCGGCCAGTGTTTGATAGTAACGCATGATACTTGTGTAGCACTTTGTCGTACCACATGCAAGTGCTGCTCGGCAGTCTGGGATCGTACTAGCGGCTGGGTTAGAGGCTTCCCAGTCGACCCAACCTCGCCGTTTGGGTTCGTGTCGCCTCGACGGGTGCACGACTTAGTACATCGACGCGTGACCAAACAACGCTACCACCAAAGATTTGCAGGCAAGATTGCAGCTACCTGTTGCTCTAATCTGGAGCGCCGTGCCCGTGGTTGCTCGTCGTCTCGTGTCGATTCCGACGTCGAGCCTCTTTACCCGGAATGGATGATGCGAAAGTGGACATCCTTCTCCCACTAGTGTCCTTCAACTCCAACCCCAAAACATCCCCGAACTCAGGGTGCTACAAAGGATTCATGCTTTGAGCTTCCTGTCGGCTCGGCCGAGCTGTTGGAACGAGACCTTGCCCCTCAAGTACGGAGCAACAGAGTTGGAATTACTCGGGGGATCTCGGCCGTTCAGGGTTTAGGGGTTTAAGGTTCAGAATTTAGGAATTTCGGAAGTGTTGGAATGATTCGGGAGTATCTGACGTGTTCGACGCTTCTTGGGTTTCCAACAGCTGACTAAACCGACCCCTATCGTTGCATAATCCTGCAGCAGGCAACCACGTCCAACACAAAGTAAAGCCCATTAGACTCCAAACCCTTAGCAGGTCACTTGGTAGTTGTCAAAAGTATGGTCCCTTTTGGGGTACCCTAAATAATAGGTGCCGCATTATACTAAGGACCCAAAAAGGGACCATAATTTTGACAACTACTCACTTGGGAAACCAAGCTTCTGCTTCCAAGGCGGCTGCCCCGTGAGCCTCGGGTCATGAGCGGTTGATGGCATTCGTTGTGGCTTTGGGCTTGGGGTGGGGGGGGGGGGGTCATTACTGATTTCAACAGGGGATTATGTAGACACCACAATAAGGGGATACTGTTGTTACTTGTTACTAATTCCGACCCCGATCTTAAGCTTTTTGGGGTTTGGAAAGACGTGGTCTATGGTGAACAATGATCAGTTTTGGGTACGGCCATCCCGGCGTCTTGGCATTGCTCTGTTTCCTGCCTTCTTTGGCACTGTACAGTACACAATCCAGGAAGCTGCCGCAGAGATTAGGTTTCAACAAGTCCTCGAAATCCACCAGCCTAAACCCTAAACCCCGAAATCCTAAAACCCTAAACCCCTAAACCCCTAAAACCCCTAAACCCCTAAAGCTTCAGCGAAAGCGGAGTCGCAGGATGAAAAGTATCACTCCGATGGACCACAGATCGGCCTGACCAGCTTGGGCCTAAGGGCTCCTTTAAGGGGCGTCTAGAAGGGTTTAAGGCTAGGGTTCAGGGTTTAGGTTTTAGGGTTTAGTCCTTTAAAGGGCGTCTAGAAGGGTTTAGGGTTAGTTTCTTTTTTTCGGGCCCTTTTCCGACTGCATTCCCAGAGGGAATACCTTACCAGGGTTAGGGTTCAGGTTTTAGGGTTTAGTCCTTCAATGGGCGTCTATAAGGGTTTAGGGTTAAGGTTTATAGGGTTTAGTCCTTTAAAAGGGTCTATAAGGGTTACTACCAGGGGTCTATAAGGGCAATATAGTAATGTCGGAACCTGATTAAGGAACCTTGGGCCTTTATTAGGATTCCTTATATAAACCCTACTATTTTGGTGTTATAGGCCCAGGGTTTCTGAATCAGGTTCCGACATTACCAAAGAAATGAACCGACCTGTCTGCACAGGTCCAAATATTTGGGGGGGGGGGGGGTCCTTATAATCAGGATCCTACTATATTTCGGATACTATTTAAGCGTCCCCGATTTTTGGAAACTCCCAAATATACTTCAGGGTCTAGAGTGCGACGTTCAGACAGGCTCAGGGTAAAGCATAAGTACGAACATGGTAACAATCATCAGCGGGGAATAGAAGCTTCAGGGAGTTTCAGGGTCTTACTACTTTCACAGGATCTTGGGGAAAAGACCTCAGAAAAGAAGTGATGAGGAGGCGATGAAACGAGCGGCCGTCGCTGCCATGATCGCCGTTATCGTATTCGCTGTGATTTAATATAGGGGCCTTAATAATTAGAATAGGCTTTGGGGGCCCACTACACTATAACTATAGTAAGGGACCCCCCCCGGAACCCCGCCTCAAAACAAAGAAATAGTATTGGTAAACATTGAGGCCCCTCTAGTATTGTGGTAGAAGTACAGTGAGAAGGCGGAAGCCCTTCAGCAACGGAAATAGAGATGGTTGTTGATGCTGACGTTGTTAAAACCTGCCCGTGAGGTCGCAACCTTCACGACCAACACGACAACTGCAACTGCTACGACAACGACTACTGCCGCTGTTACCACCACCACCACCACCACCACGACCACCACCACCACCACCACCACCACCACTACCGCTGCTGCTACTACTAGTCCTGGCACCGTGGTAACAGTTAATCTGATGGCCCATGACAGTTCGCGGGTAAGCACAGAGTAATTAGCAGCAATACATGTAGTGATTTGCGCATGCAGGCTGCAGGATACTTGAAAGCCTGGAAGCAACTCAACTTGCTTACAACATTTGGAGGTCAGATCTGTTTGCCATGTGCAACGGAGGCGTGCACGGAAAAGTCAACAATCGAGACTGCAAGTAAGGTACAGGCAGCGAGGACTTGACATTTACACAGAAAAAGAAGAGGAGTAGCAGTACCGGGCAAGTATTTCAGGAGCCTGGTTCTCTCCGGTTTGTGGTCAAAAAACAAACCATCACTAAACCTCCAGGCCCGAGGCCCATGAAGATTTGCGAATCCAGAGCTGTGCCCCCACCAAAATCCCAGTATACTGTTTCTTCGCCAGCTCAAGCTCAAATACTGCGCAGTGCCAGATGCAACAGAATGAATGCTGCATGTCCCCAATCTCATGATCTGGGGTTTGGAGCCCAGACCTGCGTGCTGTACTTCCGAGAGAACACCTCCGGGGCGACGTACAGCAAAGTGCCGACCTTGCCAAACCACACTACCCCTGGACAGCCGAAAACTGTATAAGGTTTACAATTTAGGGTCGATTTCCAATTCGATGACTGATACCCGTATGTGTTATCGGTATTGTATTTGTTTGAGGGACTGCCGAATACTCTGTGATGTTGCGGTTGCTACAATCACTCCCGCTACAGATGGCTTTTCGTAATGGCCGCCGCTTCGACTGCTCCTTCAGACGAAACAGGCGGTAAAAGAATAGGGTTTCGGGTTATATCGTATTCATTTGGATTTTGAACAACCTAACAAAGAAAAGTATTCGTACTTCTTCAGGCTGCTACAGTACCGAGTGTCCGTGGGAGTTTCACAGCTTGGACTGTCTCGTTTCGATTCGGTCCGCCCCGGGCGCTTTCTTAAGAACAGCTCGTCCATCGAAGCACCGAACAAAGCAGCCGTCGGAAGTATGGCATGCAAAGCCTGCAAGCGCAACCCATCCTACCGGCGAGATCTTGGAGAACAGACCCATCAAACCCTGAACTCTAAACCCAAACCCCAAACCGTAAACCCTTCAGCACATCCGTAAGTTGCCGGCGATGGTTCGCTTCTCAGCAGTTGTCGCTGGGCAGCAGAGCCCGAAGTCCACAAGCACTAGCTCCTGAAGTCCAGTCTCTCGTGGTCGAGGTGTAGGACGGGAATGAATGAAAGAGTGTAGTTATGTAAACCTACAGTTGTACATAGTATAGAACAATAGGTATGTATATACATACTTCCGTATCTATTCACATGTACATGTTTGTACACCGCACTTGTGTCCGGACATCAGCTAACCTTCAGCCCGAAAATGGACCGGTAACTATCTCACACATATATATATACACACATGTTTAAATAAGTAAATCAACATATATATATATATATGCATGTATGCATGGTCAGTGTATGTATATTCACAGGTGCACATATACATACACAATATGTATATATATATATATATATATATGTATACATGTACGTAAGTACATAGTCTACATGTATGCTTGTATGCATGTGTGCATGTCCATATGTATTCTCTGTGTATGCCTACAAACATTTTTACAAACACATATACATATATGTTCACACATATGGAGACGTGCATAAAATACAGAGTTTTATACAGCATGCGAAAGGAGCATACCGAGGTTAACAACAATCGTAATAATCCAAATCCTGATACGAATCTATATTCTATTGCGTTGTTTTTCACTGCATTAGATTGCAGTGTACCATGTGTTGTTATATGTCATGTTATGGCGTATCATGCTGTATTGCAGCATACCATGTCATCATATAACACCATATCAGCTTATGGTGTATAGCATTGCATTCTGTAAAACTAGACTATACTCAGCTACAAAACATCATGTTTTACTACACTATTTGTATTATGCCCAACTGAATCATAACATGTTAATAGTCCAGTGTATGATGTAGAATACCCTAGTTCATGTTGCTGTGTGGCTTTTTGTTCCATCATAGTCTAGTATTCTTTGGTTCCATATACATAGTATATGTATATACCGCTCTCTGTGCATACGTGTTTTAATGTATCTCATCTATAGTTTACATCCTTATATACTACACTTTATTGACTATAATGCCCTATCTCAATCTATGCTGTGTGGCAGTATGTACGTCATTATAAAGGTGATTTTGCAGTATCTTGTTTTGTATATGTATATGTACATGTGTATGTGTATGTATCGGTATGTATGTATGTATGTATATCTATCTGTGTGTACCTAAGCCCATATCTATATATGTACATACGCATATGCGGATACATGTACCTGTAATGCAAATGTGTATGACTCATCAACTGCGGCACAGGCTCCGAGTCCGGATGCTTGGTGCGGAAGCGGAGGTTCTCCTGGGCTCTTTTGATTCCAAAAATGAGACCATGCAGTTTCTCGTAACTGGTTACGATCAAAGCCTCATGGTGGAGATTTTACGCAGCCGCAGTCCCTGCAGCGAGAAGAAATAACTTGTTGCCCCCGTGGCCCTGGGATGGTCGAGACCTTCTGATTCTCCTAAGCCGTAGAAGGCTCCATGTCTTCGTTGAAAGCCTACGCCTGACCGCATAGAGCTTCGGGTTCAACCCTTCTGTGCTCTAGCGTGTGAGGAAGCAAGCGGCATCGAAATGCAGAGCAAACCGACAAAGGACCCGTTCAGGAATCAACGCTACCCAGCCCCTCTGCAAGGAGAAGATGACAAAATGCGTCGTTACGGAAATGATTGCTATTCGAGCCACTGGCTTCACATCGCGGTGGATTAGGCCCACGTCGCACACGGAGTGTATGTGTGCCAGCGCCTTGCCACTCCCAACTGTGAGAAAACTGGTCGCTGATCGTGACATAGGCCCTGGAGGCCCTGGATATTCTATCACGGGGTGCACCACTCGGACCACTAGGGACGTTTCGTCATGGTTTATAGAATGACCGGAGGATTCCTGCTGGACCTAGCATGCAAGCACTGGGGCTCAGTTTCTCGACTAATGACTTCGGCATGTTGCAGCATTCGCATAGTGGCGAATCACGAATGGACTTGGGCTGTTGCTATTACGTGACTGCAGAAAAGTGGCCTTTCACAAACTGGACTAACTAGTTTGTTGAGTGCTGCGGGCACCGATCCTCTGAACTCAGTGGAGCGGTGACCTACACAAAGCTCTTAGAATGGTGGAGTTCCTCTTGACAGTGACCATCATTTATGGCTTTTTGAGCTGTGTGCGAGCTGAACAGTGCGCATGCTGGGATCAAGTCGAAGACCAGGCACGGAAAGTGAATTCTGCATGATGAACTTCGCATGCTCCTCTGTCCTTGCATGGCCACACTCATGGACTCATGGAGCACGTGTTGACAGCAATTGGTGTGGCTGGCCGAAACAAGTGTCAGAGTGATTTGGCAGCCGAAACCGAGCCGGTGCGGTAGACATCTGTCCACTCCCTGATCTAATTCATGAAGTGCTTCAGCCAAAGCCTTCGAGGTCTGGCAGTCCCCCCGCCCTCTACCATTGCGATGCCATGCCGAGATGCAGAGCCGCGCCCTTCACGCTGAGGTGCTCGAACAAGTCCGGTCCTGTGATACAATCAGAGAACTGCACTCCGCGGATCCCGTCAGTACACACCTTGACATTCCAAGGGCATTGGCTTGAACCGGAGGCTTTCTCATGTACAACCAGCACACGCGTCTTCGAAGATACATACACATATATATATATGCATATATGCACACATACATACGTACATACATATCTGTGACCCCGTGCCCTAGACTTGAAACAAACCAATCTAAATCAAACGTTGAAGGAACAGGGCAAGACTGTAATCGTTGACATTGGTTCCATAGAACAACAGGAGGCTCTTCCCTACGAGGCTCATGTATGCGTCAGAACAGAGCTTGGTCAGTTGTGGAGTCTGTGTTGCCGAAGGCAAAGCCACAGAAGACAAGGAACTGCATTGCAAGGGTTCTGCCGTGTGATTGACCTGTGTGCAGGAAAAAACCCTCGGCGGCGTTGCACTGTATTCTCTTCCACTGCCTAACGACAAAGCAGAGCAATGACAAACCTTCTGGACCGACGAGCCACAATCCAAAGAACCTAGCCCCGGAAGCCGCATAATGGGTTGCTGAGCTTTTCGATAAACACCTGACGCTTGACTACCGCTTGTGTCGACTAAAGTAAGCCCGCAGCCTCTGAACACGAAGCGTATTGCTCGCGCACTACCACTTTCCCCAACCTCATGCTTGAAGACCTTGTGTCCTACCTCCCCAGTGCCCACCCCCCCAAATCCGTTGAATCCAAATCCGAGAGTTAAAAAGCCCTCTTCGCTGCTCCCTCAACCACTGTGCCTGGTACCTACCTAAACCCCAAAAACTAGGTTAAATAATAGCCCAAAACGCTCTAAGGGCTATTATTCTACATACTTTTGAGGTCCAGGTAGTACCACCAGCGCTCCTTCTAGCAGCTCCATCACCACAAAGAAATTCCTCAGACGACGGGCTTTCACGGAATCTGAACCATGATGCAGCCGCTATAGTAGAGCTTAGGAAGTTTGCAGGAGTTTCTTCGCACCCGCAGGACATCGTCTCTGTGCAATCTGACAGTGCCCGCTCCGAAAGTGCCGAGAGATCTGAAGTGCGACAAGTGTGCTCCAGACAATGAGATGACTGATGCATGTTTGCAGCTGAGAATCGCTTCACTCATGATCGTGTCGAGCAGCCGCACAACGTTCGGGTGCGAGGACTCTCTAGACCTGGCGCGGACAAGATGTGGGAAGAAACTCTGCGTCCTTCGGGAGGTGCCCAGTGTGAGTGTTATGTCGAGTCTTGCAAGACTTATACGAGAGGTATTGTCGTAACGAAAAGCCACGGATGACTCGAATGACAATGATGGTGACGGTTAAGCGGAGGTGATGTGATTGACATTGCGCATAGCTTTTACCGATTGTTGGGAGCTTGTGGACATTTGTAGCTCTACGTTCGTCTTCCAGATGTGAGAAAACGTTATCCCAACGAGCTGAGCCATTTTTTCGCTTGGATTGCGAGAAGGTAGCCCACACCCTCCTGTTGCTATGACATCTGCACGATCCGACTTTGATGCACTGAGCTTGCTTGACCAGCAGCTTAACACCGCGAAACGGGTACTCGTATTCTATAAGGCCCGGGCATACGCAGCAGCAATGAAACAGTGTCTCGCTCCACAAAATTCTTGTGGTAGTGCCTCGGATTCTCTCGAGCCGTTTTGAGTTTCAATCTTCCGGGGTCGGTAAAGCTTGACGATGCAGAAACTACGGGATCGAAAGACGAGGCTTTCGCGAGGACCTCAGAACTCGACAGGCTTTGCTGAGTAAGGCAGCCCAGCCGGACGAACAAGATGGGCGAACAGCTATCATACACGAGTTGACAGCGTTAGAAAATATCAGGAAGCACATCATAAACGGTGGTTTGGGTAACCGACCTTAGCGTTGCGAGGAAACTTGTAACTGGTGCGCCAGCAAGCACTACCTGCAGGAGCAACTCCGTCGGAAACAAGTCTGGTAAGGCGCAGCAATACCAGCAAGATGCGATTCTGCGCTAACGTCTGGCATAATAATACGGGGGCCCTAGTGATTAGAATAGGGTTTTGGGGCCATTCCACCATTAGTGTTGCTAATTGTTAAGGCCCCGATAATAGCGGGAAGTCCGATGGCTCCGTTTCCGTGAGTTCAGGACCTCGACATCCCGGTCCCCGAGAGCCTTGAACCACACCGACCGGGAAACAGGTTTGAATGCGTTTCCTGGGGAATCACTCCTGCCGCCTTTCGGGGCAGCCTGCACCTAATTACTTAAGTCTCCAAGCCGTCGAAATGCTTCGGAACTGCAACCGGGAAGTTCTGACTCATAGAACACGCGATCTAAAACTCTGGCTAACAAACCAACCCTGACCCGTGTAAGCCCCAAACCCACAACCGGAAATCAAAATGGGCGCAAGCAAGCGACTGTCCAACGTGCTCTCGGTTCAACAACTTGACCTTGCCCAGCACTGTGAACTTCGGTTTAGGGCTGTTGGGTTTCGAGTCTCGACTCTCGGCAGACGGAGAATTGTAAGGTGCATAGACATACTTTGAGACCTGCCTTCGCGAAACCTTTCAGCCTTCGGGTTTGTGGCCGACGCACTAGAAGCTTCGATCCATGCTTGACGGTCGAGAGGTCCACGTGATGAGGAGTCTACCGCCTATCTTATGCAGGCTTGAAAATCATCTATGTGCGGGGGATAATTATGATCTCTAGACTCCCGGAAAGGCCCCACACCCTCCCTTAACTTCTATCATAAAGCCAGCCCAAGAGCCGGCTCACACCCTGAACGCCTCATTGCAGCCACGTGCGCGGCGCAAAGGAGGCCCGTCGCGCGGTAGTGGCCGACGTAGGCTGTGCCAAAGGAGCCCTGACCCAACTCCTGGCTCTCAGAAACCACCACTTGGAGGTTCATGGGTAGTTATAAGGGTTCCTTTAAGGGCCCCGTTAAAGGGTGGGACTTAGGGTTGAGGGTTTAAGGGTTTGGGGTATAAGTGGGGTTATAAGTCCCCTAATATGGGTTATAAGTATAGTTACTCTACTTATAACCGTTATTACAACCCTACTTACAACTACCCATGAACCTCCAAGTAGAGCATGTATGTTCTTTCCATCTACCAGTCTGCATGTAAAAACGAAGAAGTTTATGTAACGAAGAGAAGAACAAAAACATAACGGAGGGCTGGGGTATGCCTATCATGTGCGGCAGCTGTTTTCCAGCTCGTGAATTCAGACAGAGGCATGCTGGCGCGGACTGTGCACTCTACGAACACTTACCGAAGATGGCTAGTGCTAATTACAATACTTCATATTCTTAGTGCCTTTGCTGCCATCCTTCTTTATCACCCTTCTGGCTGCGTTGCCGCCATCGATGGCCTGTCTGTTAATGTACCTTACACCGAGTAGCATTATGAACAACAGCATTTGCGCTCTGAATATGCTCTTTATGTGGTTTTCCTGTGCGACCAGATTGTATGCTTGCTTTTGATGGTACCTCGTCAACCCGAGAACCCCAGACCCAATGCCAAGACTGAGCTGTTCTTGTGGGTGGCCTTTCTCAAAATCGCCCAACAATTCAGCCAGTCTCTGGTAGCGGGCCTCCGTCACGTCGTAATAGTCGACGAGCTTTGGAGGCTCTTCGTCCTCCGGATAAGGACATGTGGAGAATTTGTGGGACTGCGCAAGTGGCTATGGGAGCAAAATTGCAAAAACCGCAAACGTGCGTGCAGCGAGGATGACAAGCAGTTGCGGCGGCAAGCGTGCAGTAGAACACGGAGTGGTTGCCATTGCTGCGATCAATATTATTATGGCCGTTTCTTGTCTTACGACTGCTAGAAGCAGTAGTAGCATGTCGTTGCTGTTGTTGCAGCAGCGGCAAGAGTAGTAAGGTAGCGGTAGCGGACTTGGCTTCAACTTCGAAATGTTCGCACACTTTCTGCAGGCGCTGCAGAAATTTATCCTGGCATCACAGAAGCCGGGGTGCATGGGAACTGAGGGCCATGGTCACAGGGAGGTGGTTCAAGCTTACGATCGATCATAAAAAAATGATTGTTCTTGCAATGACGATACAGCGGTATGACACGACGTGCATTTTGCGGAACGTTGACCTTTGGCGGCAAATTACTATGGGTTTGGGGTGTGAACCTTCATTGGACGAAGTCGGCTTAAAGCTGGCACACATGCAGCCACTGGCAAATTACTGATAAACGGAGTCGGACTCAAGCTAAGGCAAGCAGCTTGGTCCGAAAGTACCGACCAAAGTAACCTGATATGTGCTGGCAGCATCTGCTCAAGCCGTACACCTTGAACCCCCATCTTTTCATGCTTACCTCCTTTGACTTGACGCTTCTGAGCTTCCTCAAGGACAGTAGGGGTGCAAGCTACTTAGCATGTGAGCCCCAATCGACCATTCTTATCGGCATCGTAATACTGTCAAACCCACCCCCCCCTCCCTCCAAAATCCTAAACCTCAAACATCTCTGAAACCCTAAGCCCGAAACCCCTTTTTTGCCACTGACGACCCACAATCATCTTGACCAAGCCAGAAACCCCTAAACCCTAAACCCCAAACCCACGGTCCTCGTCGAACTCCTTCTGCGCACTTTCTGCGTCAAGGTTCAAGCTTTGCCCCACCAGGCCCTGGAGATGGCTGTCAGGGTTTAAAAACCATTTTAAAAAAAACATGTTTTACAACACCATCTTATATGAACGGATGCTTCTTCTCCTCATGTTGGACGTTGGAGATAGTTCACTATGGTCTATTGTGGTTTGGTATAGTTCATTACGAGATATTGTACATTATCATGAAATAGAAAATATTGTATTGAAACTTCTATCCTTCGGCATAGGCAGTCCTACCGGTATCTAGCATATACCGACAAGCCACTGCTTGCTGATTCTTTATGCATTGGCATATCGCGCGGTTCATACAAGCTCAAGGAGATTATGCTTCTAAGATCCTTCTGAGTGGGAGAAGACAAGGCAGGCTTGAGCACCACTATACAATCCGAACCTTGTTTGGGGATGGAGGCTCGGAAACCCCACCGCGTCATGGTGTGACACCACAAAATCAGCCGGTATTTGCAGGCTTGCAAGTATACAGTCTGAATGGCATACCCCAGAACAAAGCTCTCCTGGTCCCGCATCCTGTGCAAGCAACACTGATAAAGTTATTCCCGGAGTCTGCCTGCGTCCACAAACTGCGAATCGTCTCATTCCTTGCACAGGTAAGCTGCAGAGCAGGATTTTGCGGCGCAGTCGGTTTAGCAGTCAGAACCCTGCACTTTCAGCTAACTGCCCACGACGGCCTCAACAAAGCCCTAGTACCAAAACGCCGTGAAGGGTTCAGCGAGAGTTGTAAGGGCTGCCAGCCATGCCCAGAGGCCTCAAGCGCTCAGTGCAAACCCTAAACCGCCAACCCTAGACCGAAAGCTCCAATCCCTGGACCTTGTGCAGCCAAGCCTCTCCAGCTGGATGTCTTCCAAGCGCACGGGTCTGTTTCGCTTCTTTCGCTTCGGTTGGGCCAGTGGCGTGGTCGGGTCCATGCCAACCTCAGACCTGAGGTTCGTGCATAAGGTAATTTTCAAAAGTCAATGAATATATGTCTATGTAGCATATGCATATTCTGTATATCTGCAGCAAGTGCATATGATGTATCCGTATCTATATATATATATACACACATATAACTGTATCGTTTGTTTGTGTATATATTCGTGTGTTCATATATTTGTTCGTGATGTATATATCTACACATACATTCATCAGTTTATTCATGTGCGGAATATGTATATGTTTGTATGATGGTGATGAGGGTGAAGATGATGATGATGATGTAAATTGTCATTACCACTATGCTTCTTCTCAGTATGACGAATATTGCATTTCGTGTTGCGGGTTCATGTCTGAGCAGGTCACCGAAAGCTGCACGATAGCTGTGCTTCCCTCTGAAGGCTGCGCAGCACGTACACTCACACCCTGACGATCAAGCTCTATGATGTGGGCAATATCAGGTATGACTGTTTTTGTTTCTAGGCCATTCCAGGTATAAGTTTAGGGTCTTGGCTCAGGTGCAGAGCTGAGTTAAGAGGTGCAAATACCTTCAACTGGACCAGTGCAGCCAGCCGTTGATGTGAGGCTTTGTTTCAACTGAGGCTCCATAAGTGGTCCCTTACACTACGCATCTGTTTTCGGAGGCTCTTTTCTCGTCATATATATATATATATATAGCATATATATATATATATATATATATATATATATATTCCGAGTATGTGAGCCGGTGCGGTATTTGTCCATAGCACAACGACATGCGCTTCTTATGCAACAAAGCATTTGGGCTCTCTCTCTCTCTCTCTCTCTCTCTCTGTCTCTCTCGCTCTCTCTGTATCTCTATCACTCTGTATATATATATATATATGTGTGTGTGTGTGTATTTTCTGTGCGTGTGTCCGTTGCAAGCAGGTTTCGATCCTTGATTGCAAGCAAAATCAGCAACCAGAAGCACGTGTGGGCTTCTGCCAGTTGGCGGTCCACTTTGGGGTGTCCTATGACTGAGGATCCCACGATTTCGGTTACATGAGGGTTCCCTGTTCTCTGAAACTCCCACATCTAGCCTGGCACGACTGACGGCCGATCTCTTTAGGCCGAGGAAGCGACTCCGCCCCGGTGTCCAAGCCGATCGCCTTGAAAAGGTCATCGAAGTCCTCTTCTTGCAGACCCCCCTGGCAGCAGCAAAGGTCTCTGATTCCGGTAGGGTTTAGTTTAGGGTTGGGGTTTAAGGGCTTAGGGGTTTAGGCTATAGGGTTGATGCTGGTGAAGCTTCAGGCCAAACTGTATCACGCCGCAGTGCATGGTTAGGTGATTTCCCAACGGTGCTTTGTGAAGACCGACCGTGCTCGAGCTGGTGAGGTGAGGTTGCAGAAAAAACAAAGCCTTGGCCCTGCAGACGATCAACAGCCAAGAAAAAGCCCGTATCTGGGTCCGAATTCTCACTCAAGGGCACCTGAGGGGGTGCAGCGAAGGTCTGCATGCCAATGTCGCGAGCCCATACCAGCTCCTCAAGTCGAGGGCTCGATCTTTCCGTGTGAATAAAAATGTAGTCGTATCCCCATCATGTCGTTTCATCAGCGGTAAGCATGGATGTACGCTGCAGAAGTGTAGCCCGGGTGTGCCAAGGGCCTCGCGGTGCCTCATGAATTGCCCCTCTGACTCCTACGAGGGCAGGATCAAGCGAAAGATCGCCCTGATGCTTTCAGCTAATGCGGCCCCTAGAGTACTACTGTACACAAGAGCAGACAAGCATCGCAAATGTCGTCGTCTATGAGGATCGCTTTGTCCCAGGCCTCTGCACCTGACATCGTTAGTTACTCCAGTGCTGCTGCTGCTGCTGCTGCTGCTGCTGCTGCAACCAAACGAGCAATAACAAATACAACGAACAAAACTCTTCCACCACCACCGCCATCGCCACCGCCACCGCCACCACCACCGCCACCACAACAACAGCTGGTACTACTACTACTACTACTACTACTACTACTAAAACCACTACTACTACTATTGCTACTACTATTGCTACTACTACTACTACTACTACTACTACTACTACTACTACTACCACTACTACTACTACTACTACTACTACTACTACTACTACTACTACTACTACTACTACTACTACTACTACTACTACTCCTGCTACTACTACTGCTGCTACCACTACGACTGCTACCGCTACTACTACCGCTACGACGACGACGACGACGACGACTACTACTACTACTTCTACTTCTGCTTCTTCTACTACTACAACGACGACGACGACTACTACTACAACTACTCCTGCTGCTACTACCAGTACCACGACGACTACTACTAGGACTACCACTGCTACTACTACTACTACTACTGCTACTACTACGGCTACTAATTCTGCTACTGCTGCTGTTTGTGCTGCTACTACTACTACTACTGCTACTACTGCTACTACTACTACTACTACTACTACTACGACTACTAGTACTAGTACTAGTACTAGTACTAGTACTACTGCTGCTACTGCTGCTACTGCTGCTACTGCTGCTGCTACTGCTACTGCTACTGCTACGGCTACTACTACTACTACTACTACGACTACTACTGCTACTACTACTACTACTACTACTACCACTACTACTACTAGTGAACATGATGATGGTCATGTTGATGAGGATGACGACGATGAGAGCTTTCGGGTTCAACCTCTTGCAATCAGAACCCTCGACTTGGCCCGGTCTCAAGTCGAAGCCAGCATGTTGCACTTTTCCGAAGATTGCTTTTTAGGGCATTAGGTTTAGAATCAGTTGCAGCACATGTTCAGACCTGGTTACCTATTGGGGCACTCGACCCCTCCCGCATGATAGCACACCATTCATTGCAGTGCATGTGACTGTTACTGGGTCGCGAAGCATGGAAGTAGTGCAATGGCTTGCCTTAGGATGCTCTGCCTCCGAGTCATGGGCACTTCTTGCCGGATCACAAATCGAGAAGTGCCCCCCTCACCCAAGCAAAAATGTGCTTAAACGCCTGAAAAGGCGCCAATAGGCACGCAAGTCTGCAACTGCTACTACTCCTTCAACTACTACTACTACAACAACAACTACTACTGCTACTACTACTACTACTACTACTACTACTAGATACTAGTAGTACTACTCCTAATACTCCTCCTACTACTACCACTGACTACTGCGGCATCGGCTTCCACCGTCATGTTCACCAAACCCCAAAAAGAACCCAGAATCCCATGCCACCAAACCCCCGAACCTCTAATCCCTTGAATGCCCAAGCCAAAAAACCGTTAGCATCCCTAGTGCGAGAAAGTCTTTACGCAGCAGCCGCGTTTTTGCGATGTGAATATATGTATGCGTATTGTACTTTTTAATTCCCCTGACTAGATAAAAGTTGCAATTAGATCCCCCCGAAAAACCCCAAGACACGGGAAACCTTCATCCCCCCGCACCTAAATGAGCGAAGCATCCACCCACCTCATAGAGCTCCTCTCATCGTTGCTGGCTTCTTGAGATCATAAGGGGTTTCGGGTTGAGGGGCTTAGGGCCTAAGCGTTTAATTAAGGGATGACTAGGATTCGTCTTTAGAAAAGTTGAAACCAGGATGCTACTGACTGCTACCGTTCAGGGTCTAACTTTGGAGGTCTCATATGAGGTGTAGAGTTGCCGGAGGTGCGACATAGTCGCCACTTCCGGGCGCGATTGCCTCAAGATCTGGGAAACGGCGAGGCTGTAGGGCCCAAACTCAAGGCAAGGTATGTTTACGGGTGTATGGGCCTGTTTGTCGCGCGGCTAGACGCGAGAGTGCATCCGAAGTCTTTCCACCCGCTAAGACAACTGCTGATGCGGTTGTATGCTTGCGGTTGCCCAAGGCTGCTATCAAACAGTATGCAGGGTAAGGTGCTAATGAGGCCCCAGGCAGTCAGCCTATCTAGCCTTGTGAGGTCCTGAATGATGCCGGCTTTGCCATCAACTCGGGCAGCCTGACACGCCAGGCCACCCATTCTTACTACCGCAACCAAGCGAACCTCCTTGACTCTTGACTGTTCACACCGCTGCCTACACAGAAATCTGCTCACGGCAGTCCAACCAGTGCTTGGCAAACAGAAGTGGGTCCATGTCCTCTTTGTTAATAAACACTTGCCATGCGCCTTGCCGAGCACGGGGCCATTGAACAAATCTCTGAGTCCTGTCCGTAGGATAGTTTGAGGGCCAGAAACTTTGCAGAGTGTGCAGGGCGCACTGTGAATCAGACCTCTGCAGATGCTTTCAGTCCAGCACACGATGTGCGATAACTGACATGACATCTCAATCCATTGCCGCCCCGGCCCCGGCCCCGGCCCCGAAACTTGTGAGAGAACTAGCAACAAGCGCAGAATCTAACCCGAAGATTGACATGGGCCCGAAACCCTAAACCCAAAGCTCTAAACCCGAAACCCTAAACCTTAAACCCAAAGCCCGAGGACAGATCTGGCAGATACCGGAGACAGCTGGTCCTGTCTCCTCCAGAGCGTGGGAGACTGTTTGCTCCGTACTCTTTGAAATGACCGCCAAAGACACTCCCGCCTGGCATCAAGTCTGCTTTGACTTTGTTGCGATGGGTAGGCAGGCAGGGTCTGAAACCCTCCAAGTGTGGAGCTGCACGAACGATGCCTGCCTAGACTGAACCCCCCAGGAGGATTTCGGGCTTGAACCGCCGTCAAAAAATCTGCTGAAACCTGGGTTTCTGCAAATTACACGGTCTGCGGCGAAGTAATGTGTAGAGTCGCTGCGGCTGCTATGAGACCCACCAGTGTCCTCAAACCTATACATCCCACCCCGCATATTCCTTATGTTTCCTACGCCAGGAGCCCGACAAGAAAGCCAACGACACATACCGGCCCAGAGCCATCAACCGAAACGAAATCTGCCTTGAAAACGTCGCTCCAAATGCGGAAACAAACGGTGTGACTCCATATGCGGAAAACATTATTTTAAACTACATGACCTTACGTGTCAAGTATGGGATGCGACAAGGTCGAAATGCGAAACCCATGTGATCAATGTGATTGAGCTGTGGCAAAATCCTAGTTGCTGAGCTTGTGTTTCACATGCGTCTTCATTTTAATTGGTTTTGCGTTGACATTCACACACAGATTTCGGTGCACAGTGTTCGACAATGCTGCCCGTTCACATTTACAGTCACTTACATTCACGTTCTGAGTGGAATCTTGAATCGGATCTTCACACTTGTCCAGACGATTGAAGCTGTTGGACCACATCAGGCCAAAATCACCTCAGCCTGCAATACCTCACTAGCAAACTCGAGGACCGGATGCTTCACCCACTTCCGGCGATGGGCACGGCAGAGTAGCGTGGCAGGGCAGAGACGAATTCCGTTGAGCATGCACGCATCCTCATCATGTGATTCCTAAACCGACAGTCTCTATGCTTTCACGGACACCCCACTCTGCCGCAGAAGCCTCCCGTAAGCGTTCGAGCCGCGGCCGCAGCATAGGTGTCCTGCATGCAAAGTTTGTCCGGGTTTAGGGTGTGAAGTTTGGCATCGGGCTCTCATGGACGGGGGTGTCCGAATTGAGCCATAAAAGGCGCAGTTGGTTAAACCGTACGCCCTGGTGATTGATGACTCCTTGGGTGGTGATCGGCATGAATGGTGGTGGTAGATGCAGGAAGGTCGTCGTCGTTATGGTGGTGGTGGTGGTGGTGGTGGTGGTGGTGGTGGTGGTGGTGGTGGTGGTGGTGGTGGTGGTGGTGGTGGTGGTGGTGGTAGTAGTAGTCGTCGTCGTCGTAGTCGTAGTCGTCGTAGTAGTAGTAGTAGTATTAGTAGTTGTTGTTGTTGTTGCTGTTGTTGTTGTAGTTGTAGTTGCTGCTGTCGCAGTCATGTGGTAGAAGAAGAATTACTCGTCGTGGTGGTAGTACAAGCAGTAGCAGGAGTAGTCGTAGTAGTCGTCATAGCGGTAGTAGTAGTAGTAGTAGTAGTAGTAGTAGTAGTAGTAGTAGTAGTAGTAGTAGTAGTAGCAGTAAAGCAGAGAAAGCAGAAACAGTAGAAGTAGCCGTAGTAGCAGAAACAGCAGCAGGATCAACAGGATCAGCATCAGTACACTGGTTTTACAAGCGTAGTTGCGGCAGAGCCAAAACTTGCAAAGTCTCGGTGTCAGGACAACAGAACTGGGGGGCTACCCGTGCATGCTACGAGCTGCTGCGGCCAATGAAGTGTACACACTAGGTCGCATCAATCGGCAGGCATGTTAGAAACCATCTGGTAATATGGGGGCATTAAAGATTTGAATAGGGTTCTGGGGCCCATTATAATATATTTATAAGGAGCCACCAAAATAGTATAGGTAATTATTTAAGCCCCTATATTAAACTTCCGATCACTGCTTCCGTCCGTTCCAGATTGCGGGCCTTTCTCGCAGCTCCACAAGCTTGCTTGCATGGGAAGCCCGCGTGCCTGGAGTCCTCACAACAGGGCTTAGAGCTG